ATCGAGACTTATAAATCTTGATTCATAGGTAATGAAGGTCGTACTCCGAGGTGAGCAAAATCTGAACGGAATGAAAGGTTAGATAAATACGACAGACTGAGCTAGAACAGCTCGACGTAATTGCTTTCGTATGCCCCTCTTCGATCGTGGCACTTGGCTAAGAGAAAAACCGATTTGATGCGCGGTAGCGATTCTTTTATTCAGGTTGCGGCCACTAGCGGCAGGTTCTTAGAAAGCTAACTTGTTTAACACCATACCCTTAACAATAACTATCTGTGGATTGCAACAAAACAGGTCAAGCGGGTAACAAATATACGGCAACCGCTGCCTAGCCTTCCAACATCAAAAGAAGTAACCTTGACATCGGTCAAATAAATGATCAGTCATTGCTCTATTGTAGCTGCGGCGGCTGTGTTCGAGACGCGTGGTCGTGGCCAGTCGTTCGTAATTTGGCTCTGCTTTACTCCGATTTATTCTGTTCGAGTACTTTGCTATCCCCAACGAAATCGCTTCACATACGAGTCAAGGAGAGGGGTAACTAGGACACAAACGAAATGATCAGCGGTGCGCGCCTGGCCACGTAGTTAGCCAACAAACAAACATCAACAGTTGCCGCCAACTTACGTCGTCGCCTCTGAATCATTCTCCTTCCGACAACTCTAAACAACAAACTCACTTACTTCGCTGTGTTTTCCAGTCTCTATAACAGCCATGGTCGTCGCTGGTGCCGGTCCAAAGCAAAGATTCGACGATGGTGGTCACGCGTAGTCGCGCACCAGTATCAATGCTCCACCACGCAGTCAACGAGCGAACGGCTGCCGCAGACGCCGTCGCGGCCGTAGAAGGCGCACTTACGAAACCGCAACGTCCAACAGGTCGAGCACGCACACATGAAGTGTGACTGGCAGTATCTGCCGGTCTACCTGGCTAGACACTTGATGTGGCTTAACACGCAGGGCCTTTCACCTTGCTAGCTAATAGCGACAATACAAATGGGAAATCGTGAAGGCACAATCAATTCCGCTACTCTTTTCGGCTGCCATCCGGGACAGATTCAAACAACCACAGATTTGATGGGTCAGCAGAAATCGGCGGGGGAACAACGGGCCATCGGGGAACCGACGGCTGATACAGCGGTGAATAAAGATCGTTTAGCACATCGTCACTGTTGTGACCCACTAGCGTCGACGGGGAAGCTGCCGCCGTCGTCGCCGCCGGCACTGAATCAAACACAACAACACAGGACGAGAACAGAAATGGAAGACAAAAGCCGTAATTGGTCCAGTAACAACGGCCAAAAATACGTTTGGCGTCAGTGTTTCATAATAAGAGTGACCTAAAAATGACTTAAGAGCGTATAGCGATAATTAGCGCGTGCGCGCCAAAATTTTATTCTTACACACTCGTGCGCGCACATACACAGGCAGAGAAAAATACAAATCACAGAATTATGGTTTGAAAAAATAATTCGCCCAAACAAGAAACGATTCCTGGAAGTCGCACCCAGTAAACAACTAAACCCACCATATTAACATGATCGAGTATTTGCATAGGCGCGCTGATTGTGTAGGCTCTGCGACGAGTAACCGTTGAATGCAGTGTAAGCGACACCAAACACACACACAGAGAGAGAGAGAGTGAGAGAGAGTGATAGAGAGAGAGATAGAGAGAAAAGAGAAGCAAGAACTAGACAACCTGAAGCAAGAGATTTCTATTTCTGTTATTTGTGTATGTTTATGCCTACGAAGATTTTACCTGATTACGCTTCAGTAGGCTGCCCGTTCCAGACAATTTTGGTGCACAGCGAAGTGGGGGTGCGATTTACACAACGGCTCGGAGAACCATTGAAGGATTCATACGGTAGAACTTTCTGGCAATAGGTGTTCCAAATTACTCTGGGTCGTAATAGCGAAATGCTACTCCTATCGGTGAGCTAACCGGTAAAGGGAGTCGGATGCTCAAGCGGCCACTGGCGTTGGCGTTCCCGCGCCACCCCCGTCGGAAAGGACGACTAAAGACGACACGAAAAGGATTCTGCGTGTGTGTTATGTTATTATTATGATGCCCTCTCTTTCTCTTTAAACAGGGATACATACACAGACAGACCGACAGACAGGCTTACATGAATTGGGCGGCGCACAAGCATCACAAAGGCTCCATTAGAACAAAATATCTTGCCAGTCCATTCGTTAACAAATGAATGAATTTCTGCTAATGTTACAGCTGCTGTCACATTTAAGGTACGGGAAGGCAGGGCGCTCCTGGGGCAGAAGCGATCGCCAACCCAGTTTGTTCTAAAACCTAGGTCTTTAGTGTTTCGAGGCTGCTTCCACCCAGAATGATCCTCAAAGGGTCTGGCCCACATTTAGAGAATCGCTCTATGTAGCCTGGCAGTGTTCAGTAACATCAAGAACGTTGCTTCTTTTTTTAGAAAAAACTAAGCGGGCCGTAATAGAGGTTATATATTTTGGCGGTAGCAGATACTGTTATATGAGTAGGACGATTTGAGTCAATATGTATTTGTACCCAAATGACCATATAGAAAATGTTTGGATTATTTGGAGGAACTTATAACAATTGTAGACGAATAATGTAATAGGGATTAACAAAAATTGTACATGAAAAAAAAAAATAAGAAAACCAAGTAGTTAGAATTATTTCTCTATTTATTCTATTTCAAACATCAAATGTTTGAATGAATTCCATGCTGAGAAGTGCGCCTATGATTCCACTAATACTTCATTTTCGACCATCATCATCGGCACAATCACCACCATCACCAGTGTTACTTCAAATATGAAGCTTTATCGGGACCCACCATTAGTATTATACACAATAAAAGATTTAGTTGATAAAGTAGTATTTAGAGCTTATATAAACAGAACGTTCTTAGAAATGTTTTCTCTTTCAGATAAAATAACCAGTTCGACAAGAACTAATTATGGTTTAAAAAGCTAGCCAAGAATATGTGGGCCTCCATGTTGTACTCACACTAATAGTCGAGCATACTACTAACTACATGCGGAATTGTATTGCAATAACACTTCGATCTTAACGTATCCAGCTGGGCACCACATCACGCAAATTTCGTTTTGTATTTTCCGCCTTTTCAACCCGATTTGCACGTTTACCTTATTATCTAATCTCATTTTATTTAAGAGAAAAATTATAATAAATCATGTCATCTCAGTAATGAAAATGTATACTTTGCCAGCGGTCTGGCTCAGCGCTGTGGGGCAAGCGGATTACCTAGAACGACTTGACAGCAAGTTTTCGAGACAAAATAAAGCCAGAGATTTACAATGAGACAAAGCTGAAGTAATGGTTCTTTACAAAGTTGGAAACCTTTTTAAGGACTGGTTTACTATATCTAATGCCTTGTGGTGAAATGTTTAAAAAAGGTTCGAAATCGTCAAGAAATCGAAAGGTAATACCAGCGACTTCTTGAGGATATCTCGTAGTAATTTCTGTACAATTAAATATCCTAACTATCTTCGATCAGTGTTCTCTAAGCACAAAAGTAGTACTTACGATCAGCCCATACACTTAGGATTCAGATGCGTATACTTCAATGTAACAGAATAATAATGACCTTACAAACAGGTTTGCAAGTCTTCAACCGTATCGATTTGCGTTGGCGCTGCGGGGTTCGGACACGACAACTGAGAACATTGATCAACTTTACCTCGTTTTGTACTTCCTCCTTCGCTTCTCATTCGTAAAACGTAACAGGGCAGTCTCGCAGATCTCTTATTTCTAGTAGTCGAGTATGTCCTGGCGGATATAAAAACAAATGAACGCACTGATTAAAATGAAACTCGGCCGTCTGCACCGTCTCCTAAGGTTTTTTTAATCCGTATGAACCTTACTGGCTTTTCCATAGACGACTGAAATAAATGGACGTCAATTCAGGCTCAATTGCGGCTACTTCTTAATCCGTTGATTAGAATTTAACTTGGCTGCAGCTATCCAGTAGCTGGGACAGTGGAAGGCGTGCATTTTGTGGGCATTACTGCTGTTAGTAAATCCAGGTGAAACTCTCCACTAGCGCGGAAGGTACCTAGAAGTGAGTTCCAATATCTTTAGATGAGATTTACGCGTGAGCCACTTATTAAAGAAGGCTCTGAAATAATGTCCCCTTGATGGTGAGCTGGGGCCGTGTGTGCTTACCAAACTTACAAACACATGGGGTAATGTAGGTTTGACACCGGGTGCAACCACATTTCATTTCACGCCGAAAAAAGACGACTGTCTGATGGCAGTGCGTAATCGTGGTCCCGGCCGTAAAATACTCAGATTGGAAAGGAGCTAATTTTATGCTTTCAAATAATCGCCCATTTGTCAACTGAGGGATCTATAAATACGCTCGGCGATTTTGATCTCTCGCAGAAGACGCGGATCTGTTGCAAGCGCAAATCCTATGCTGCCAGATAATTTACTTTTTTATTTTACATGTCTGCATTGCGTTATATCATTACTCAACGTACATGTATATTAGTACGCATAGCATGAGGTAACCATATTGAGGTGTTCTGCATACGGCCTTACTCCAATGTGGATCGAACCGATTTCAGATTTGACATCGTAACAGACAGCATTTAAGCGCGATACCCGTTCCAAACTAAGTCTCTATCTATGGAACATTAGCCTTATTTCTTAGTCGCTAAAGTTATTTGTTGTGGTGATTTCTACTGAATAAGTATTAACAATATATTTGGCTAACATAATTGCAAAACAACTGGTGGAGAAGTCATCCACGACTAAATAAAACGCGTTCAGAAACGCTAATTTCGGGAGTCATCCGTTGTGTGCCGCACACAAAAAGTTCCATAGATGCATCCGCCACTCTTTTTTTACTTTTGAATCATATGGATACCACTAATCAGCAATGCAAACAGACAAAAATTGATCTGGTCACACAATGGTCTAAGATTACGTTTTACATATCTTATATGTGTTTTTAGGCCTTTGTCTCCTGAAGTGCAACTTCCGTAAATATAATTTGGCGAGTTGGCAGAAATGGTTAGGACTAATATTTGCGAGGATACACAGCTGCAAATGTGGCCTTCGTCTCTAATTAATGCGACCGCAGCCCATCAGCATCGCTATTGTCTAAATATCTCAAATTGATATGTTTGCCACTGGTTTTCATACGTAGGATGGATGAAAACCCTAATATGAATGACCCAAACAGCATTTGTCAAATGCGCGAAGATGAGCTTTTTGCATGCAAAGGAACCTAAGCCCGTCTCAATACGTGATGTCGTCGCTAGTGTTATTTGCATATAATTACTATTAGTTTTGTTAGTAGCTACAACGTTGAGAAGCAACGAAACGTAACTCAAATACACTATTAATATCTCTGTCTTAAAAAAAAAGCTGATGCCAGTATGTATTTTATATTGAATAAGTGTGCTTTACAACTTTCCTCTAAAAAGAATTTCACTTGGACTTTTTGCATCGAAGCTTTCCACTTGCGCAAACACCATAACAAGCCTATTGAGTTTGTTCCTGGTGCTAGTTGACGTTCGTAATCAATAAATCCTTTGATTTCCAACTGCCAATGCTTTTTTTTGCTTTAAAAAATTATATATTGGCATGTATATCAAAGAACTTTTTCCATTCACACCAGTTGCTAACAGACATCTCGGCAATATGGTGCATCGTCTCTGTGATAACCCCGGTAATAACGTGTTTGTCTACCCTGTGACCAGCTGGGATCCATCTGTCCAGCTGTCTCAAGCTATCCCTAATGGCTCATACAGCGAAGGTAGGACCTAAACATAGATATTGTTTGTACTGGCCTGAGTACTGAACCGCCTACCCACCCGCCTGTACTTAAGGGCCGTCAATTCGTCGTAAAGTTAAAGGCTTTTCGATGGCTAGCGTCGCCGTAGCAGACGACTTGTATGAACCTGCGCTAAGGGGCGGACGCGTTCGTTAACGTGAAATCGCGATTTAGCGGATAGCCAAACAGTGTCTGTCGAGAGACAATCAAGCAGTGCTTACTTATCACCGTGCGGGAGAAAATGTCTATTGGAGTCTCTGCGTTGCCTGTTTAGTGGTCGTCATAGATAACGTTCAATCGAGTGGTTCGAACTGTGCGCTTTGTCCCGTTATTTCGAGACGACTAAGTCAACGGCCAAAACTATTAACTAGGTATAGACGACGAGCTGTGTACGACGGCTTGAGCAAGTGCGGTGTGTCGCATAGATAGATTCTGTGTGTGTTCTTGACTTGGGGGGCAAAATCTATATCATTCACTGGAAGAGGACGCACTGCATCCCAGTTTACATCGATGCGCGAGGGATCAGAGCTACCGGAGATCACCCTCCGCCCTCACCGAACCATCCCCTGAGGTAGGAAACGCCAAACTCACTCTGAATCTGCTACTGCTAGAATGTGAAAGAGTAATCCTTCACCATTGCAAATACGCTTCGAACCGTCACGTCAATTACGGCAGCATTGACCCGGAGACGATTTATGTTTAGCCGATTTCAAAACAGCGCAATGAGATTTAAGGGAGTAGGAGGAAAACCGGACAGAACGGCACAAGACACACAAGAAACCGGTAGATCCTAATTTCCTTTTAGAGTGGGCAAGTGAAGTGTGGCTCGGGTTTCTTGAAGTCCGATGTCGCACCAGATGTACAGCGCGTCGCAGAGGAATGACGGCAGCCCATGAATGGCTAAGTTATCACCGTTCGAACGGTGTAAGCTAGTTACCAGTTCGCCGACGGAAATCGTACGTGCATAATCAGATCTTTCGTCTGATGCTAAGAATTTTCAGTGAACGTATCCGTCACTGACGTATCTTGTCCGTTTGTGACTGATATCGACATATCTCGAACTGATTGGAGAACAGCCCGTTAAATGCCGATATGCAGCGAATGTTGCGACAGTGACCGTCAGTATTCGATATACAACTCCGTGTTAACGGAAAAGTGGACTACAACAACAATTTACCCTATACCACTGTTCGATTTCAAGGCCAGCTTGTTTTTTCCCACTGCGTTGAGTCTATGTGAACAGTGAGATAGATAATGCCAAAATTGCCACCCATCTTGAAAGAAGGGGTTTGTGTACGTTGTGCTAATGTAAGTACATCTCAAGCTGGTGGCATGGCTGCAAATGTTGGGTGAACCCTGTTGATGCGCAACGTGATATGTTGAGTCAATGGGCGGAATCCTATTAGTATCCATTATTAGTAGTTGTCCGTTGTTTCCTATTTTTGATGAGACTATTGTGCGTGAGTGCGTCCACTGACTGATTGAGTGTTAATACCTCCAGACTGCTTTCAACCTATACCTATCCGGCCATGTATCGCCCTGTTCGTCGCTGGTTCGGCATTAAACGATTATGGTCGTGTATGCTGCACGTGCTGACGCCGTAAATTCGCACCCGTCTACGACTCTTTCTCGACAATTTTTTCCCGCTCTTTGCTTCTCGCTTTGTATCAGACAAGGTGATGGTCAAACATTCAGCTACGATACAATAGTATCATAAGGACAATGCTAGTAAAAAGCTTTTTGATAACTTAGTGGAATCCATCGGATCAGTTTTTCCCGAGTTTACAACTACTACTTACAGTTCTTTTCCAGTCCTTACTTCCTCGGGGAGTCTACTCGAGTCTCGCCTACTCGGCCATCGCTCAAAGTACTCTGTTATCGATTTTGTTGCTGAGTCAACTACAAAGAGAAATCAGCAGCAATAGCATCGACTGGTGGGCAGGCTGCCTGCCGCTAGCGGTTTCTTGTAGGTCGTGTCGCCTTCGTCGTCGTTGTCGTCTATCGACAATCGCCGTATCTCGTATCGTCACCGCGAGGTGCCAGTCGGTGGTGAACGACCATTGTCACAGGGTGGCGGCAGGGCTGCCGCTTACTTGTTTGGCCGTTCGACATGCTCGACCGCCGCATTTGTCCGTGGACATTCACTCGAGACAGTGAACAACAACAACAACAACAACGACGACGATGACGACGACAACAAAGGGAAACATTTCGCCGCGGCTGATTGATGTCGCTGTCACTAAACGACAGCGAGCGTCGTCGGCCAAAGCTCGATGCTACTGTTGTAACCAGCGGTAGTCGTAGCAGCGGAGCAGAGTGGCCACGAATGTCGGAAGCAACCCTGCGTTGTCGCCACCTCTATTTTATATCCCTAGGTTAGTCGATCGGGCATCGCTTGGACGTTGTTATTATTCGACTGAGCTCGCCAATTCAGCTACATTAGCGGTTTCACGCTAGAAGCTATGAGCTGTCCAGCCGCAGTAGCATTCAGAATCCAATAACGCTCGCTCACGACGCGGATGCAATGGCGACACCTTTTCGCTTACGCTGCGCCGTTTTTGCGCAATGTATAAAATACGAATGTAGATCACGTTCAGTGGAAGTGAATGTAAATGAGGGATCAAGGGAGAAATCGAGTTGAACATTATAACACCTTTTAGTAAGGGTGGTGTTGCCGTCAGATAATCCGATACACGTGCACACACGCATGCACCGTGCTAAGAGATGGGTCTATTCTAGTTTGTTTTAGTTTAGTTTGACTTAGTTCAGCTATGAGGAACGGCGGTGGCGTAACACCATCGTTGGTCATTTGGTTCGTTATAAGTTTTAACAACTTTTCATTTAGGACAGCTCATGAGTCAGAGTGCCGGGACCTTTTTGTGCCATAACAAACCTTGGCCCAAGAAAAACTTGATTCAAGGCCACTCCTTGTCAGGTATAACTAGCCATAATAATCGTGCTGTCGCTACTTTTGACGCTGCTATGCCCGCGGCTGCCGTCGAAATGTTTCCGAAGTTTTATATCCGGCACCGGCATCACACATTTCATCAAACGATTGGCTTCTAGCAGGAAACCGCGCCCAAATTCGAACCCAATATAAACACGCGTCCGTATGCTTAGCAGGCAAATACGTTATCCATTAAATTATCATTACGACTTTTAATTGTTACCTGCCTTACATCGATCGCAGGTTGCGTAGAAATGTCCACTAAACGAGAAAAATCTCGAGTGCTGATATAGTAATTGTGTAGGTTTGCATTGCTAGCTCTTTCCTCAACGGCAGTCACTGTATCCCAAATGAGTAATTATTGCTTGTCGTTGGTACGATGTGAACGATCATAGTGATAATAACGTTTTATCGTAAGTTTATCAATTTGCCGATCTAGGCAATAACAATAACCTGATATTAACGGTACCATATGAAAGAGGCTCGTTAAGCGAACAACTCTTTACTCGAAGTTTTCTTCGCATTAGCGCTTAGCCCGTGCTTCCATAAATGTAAGCACAATTTGCATTGATACAGATTCCCTGAGCAATTACTACGTATAGGATTATTTACGAACCGTCACTTATCAACAGCAGTTGCCGCAGCAGCGAGTTATAGACTCATTTGCTGTGGGCAGTTCGTTGTTTCGTAGAGGGCAACTCATGTCCGATGAAGCATGCTGCTCCGACAACACTTAATGTGCCAGCTAATCAATAAAATACTGTTTTTCTTGTCGCCACAACTCTTTGCCGCTCGAAGAAATACCGTTACACCATTATTGATTCCTCTACTACGTGTTCATTTTAACAATACTCGCCCATTCACTCATTGACGGACGCACGCACGCACGCACGCACACCTTAGGGCACGATAGTGTGTGGAGCTACAGTTAGCGTCATTGTTGTTTTCTTTTCCCTTATTTTTGATAGCGAGTGACGCTTGCCATTATGGCGAAAAAGCGCTGTCACGATGGATCAGGAAAGCTCTGAGCAAGAAACGATTTGGTTGGATCTGTACTCCTGTAAGTGGATAAGCTAGTTTTTGTTCGTGCTTGATAATTAAGCTTGATCACAAGTATGAATGATTTTAAAATCTGTTTTATAATGTGCGATAATGTTAATATCCGTTTTGTCCCTATATTTATATATAAAATATATGATATGTCGGAAGTGGTAGTGTGGATTCTCTTAAAAAATCTACCTAATTTTGAATGTGTATTGTGCCAATAACCCCTGACTGATTAATCGCTATGTTACTCTGTTATCTGAACTAGTCGCTAAGTCTATGTAGAACGTTCCGGTAGATCTCAAGGCAGGAAGTTATTCACCTGAAAAACGTGTGCCAAAACTCGTAACTACGTTAGTGATCAACATCATTACCATCGGTTGGTTACAAGCGGAGCTATTTAAAATGATAACTCAAGTAACTCGCTGTTTGATAGATTCTGTAGAAAATGGTGGACTCGGAACGTTGCGATACCATTATATATCGCAGGTGCATAGTGTATACCACTGTGAGCCCGACAAGCCGTACAAGGATGTGTTCCTTGCAGTTGAATAGAAATGGCTGAAGCAAAGTATGATTATTAGGGCCAGTGAACAAAAGAACTCGACAGGTTTGATGGACAGATAAGTGGATAGATTCAAGTGACGGATGAAGTTTCTCTTGGACAGTCGTCGCTTATATTATACGTGCAGCAAAACGTCAAGCTCGTTTGATTTGTTCCAAAACTAATTAATTTCACATAGAGCAAATAACTTATAAGTTATTGCCTTATGCGTTGTAAAAAAGTTCAGAAGCGTTGTATTATTCTAAAAGCAATTGAAGTAAAATCTATAATTCAACCGTTCATTACAGTAAGTAGGTAAGCTAATTTACAGGTAGAATTCTAATTTTAAATGACTCATATTAATAAGACAGAGGCCTAAGAAGGCGCGTTTGCAGATCACTTAGTAAAATACGCCTAAATTATTAATAGTAACGGAAAAGTCGTTGTTCTTAGTTCGTGCAACTTCGGGCAGACATCCTGGTGAACTTAAGTAACCCGAATATGTTCAGCCTACGCGATGGAAACTTGCCCTATTTTGATCAATTCAGTAGTGGCTTTGGATTGTTGCTTTCAATATACTTAAAGAATTACTTCGGCGTGCAATAACGTCGGACAGTCTATAAATGATGGCTAAAACTTCCTAAACACCAAATAGCCTGCTAGTTATGTAGTTAAATATTTAAGCCATTTTTAAGTCTGCAGGTCGTCTTATCACAACAATGAGATATATGCACATAATGCTTTCATTAGCGTATGCTTGTTCTAAAGTTCGTTTTAAAGTAGATTGCTGCTCGTACGCAAAAGAGATGCTCTTATCAGAGACACACTATTTGGAAACAAAAACCTGCGTGAGCAACTCGAAAGATATGGGCCGTTTGGTTTTTCCGAAACAGATATGCATCAGTACAAGCAAACGGAATGAGGTTTTAAGCTTAATCGGTGCCATCAACCGGGAGATCAAATATTTGTCTTTGCCTCGCTTCTCTTCATATAAAAGATGTGAAAAAAAAATAAAAAGCATGAAACTTCGAACCATCGGGCGGAAAAAAGGGTCGATCGACGACTTTAAAAAAATGTTCGTGGCTTATAAAGGTGTAGATAAGGTCATTTGAAATTGTGCTTGAAGCTGATGGATGAGACATTCGACATACAGTATTTGTGTGGATTCACGAAATAGAAATGTTGACAAAAAATAAAGTGGCGTTACAGACACCTTTTCTAGCAACTGCTAAGCTTTGAATAATTGGGTCGTGACTGAAATTCCATTAACCTTGTTGACTATTAAATATGAAAACCTGCGCCCTTAATAAATCATTCTTTCAGAAAACGCATAGCAATGTGACGGCCTTTGCCGGTTTGGCCGATAGGTCTCACAATAGGGCAATACGAAAAATAGGACATCATTGGTAGTATGTTCTCAAGTGATTGAAATCTTCCCAAATACCCCGATAATTGGACTACTCACGTATGAACTCTTCGGGCGCTAACGAATTCGGGTAGCCTATTTCTAAAGGTGCATTTCATGGATGGTAGAACACGGTCGAGATTTGTAATTGATGAGGATTGGTAAGCCTGTAATTCCCTAGACTGTTCATTTGATACAATTTTCTGCCGCTGAAATACTACAAAGCTATTAATTTGCTAGGTTCTGTGTATGAAATCCTATCAATTTTTGTGTACTAATTGCAGTGCATAATTTAAAAAAAAGGAATTCGATCATGGATTACAATGCGAGTCAACGTAATTTAAAACACTCTTTTTCAATCTCAAGTAAAGACAAAACCTGCTGAACAATGCTCGCAGGCAAGCTCGGTTTGGGCACACACTTTCAGTGCTACACTAATGAAGATATGATAATGGTAGATCAATAGCACAGTCGTTTCTCTATAATGCACAAAAGTATCGGGCTACCATGTGTTCTATTAATCCATATAACCCACTGTTGTAAGTCTACAGTTGGGGGCAGGACCTGAAACAGAGTTCGAGCGTTTAAGGTCAGGACTGTCCATGATACGTATGCCTAAGAATTACCCAGAAAGGGCAATGCAACCAATATTTTCGCATTTCTCATGAATTTGGCGAATTCTTACTTCGTTTACCTGTAGTGTTAAGTCATGTATATCAAGGACTAAAGTTTCAGAGTACGCTCCTATTCATACAAACATAAAAACAATCTACAATAATGAAATAATAATGTAATGTTAATAATGTAATAATAATGTTATAATGTAGGCACAAGGTTCTTTAAATCGTCCTTTTGTGTGTACCTGTCGCCGCAAATAAGTCGATTTTCTTAAACGAGCGTCCACCGTATAATTAAAATAATGAAAATCCATTATGAAATTTAAATATCGAGGATTTAGGAGAACTGATCAACGACATCGGGCGTTGAGTATGTTTTGTGTCAAGTAGATACTTCTAATTCGAGTTTCGAGGTGACACCGGGAAATAGTCATAAAGTTAAGCGTTACAGGCTCAAGTTCCATAATTCATTCTAACCATGGGCCGCTTTTTACGTCAGACGAGACTGAAATTTTAGATAGGCATGGTGATCAAAGAGTTCGTATCAATGGATGCCCTACGTGACTATTTTATCGCGTATAATAAATTACAATTCCTTACATAATTGTGCTCGTTAGTTGCGCAAATCCGAAACCATTGCAGTAACACGTGTTATTATTCTGAAGGTTTCATTTTGATGGAACATCAATGGAGTAATTCACTTCAATAAGTATATTCATAATAATTTCAAATAGCGCCCATTTCAAACACAGAGTCATCGTTTTATTTGTGGTGTGAAAGGGTAGCATATACGTCTAGTGTGGGCGCGAATGACTTCAATATACAAGGTAGTTTTTCACAATCTCACTTCTAGGTTTTCTCCATAATTCGCTACGTAAACTCACGTTACTTCGTAAAAAATACTCTGTTAATAACAACCACAACCGTGGGTATGATGAAATCAATGCTAGGTTACGGCGTAATTGAGAACGCTATCGTGAACTTACAAGAAGCCCTACGCAATCACATTTCTTTAATTGCAAAATAGTCCATCAGCCTTTTTTCTCCCTCTTTGAATCCTTTACATGAATCTTCACTTATGATTTGTTCTCACTGGTAATTCTATACTAACTCGGGTAATGTTATAAAACATTAATACATATGATTTTGTGACTTTTGTTGCGAATTTACCTCGAACACGCTACACAAGAAGTTTTTTTACTGGTGGACTTCGTGCAGCTTGGCGTCTATATTCATATTTGTTTTCAATAGAATCCTTAGAACCAAGTTACATGCACGAAATATTGCGCTGATCCCTTCGATAATATGCATCCTAAACTTTATAGATTGGACGAGCATGGCTCCGAGATCCCTATATTTTGCCTGGTATATCAGGTACTGAGTAATCATTTAGAAAATAATAAATCATTGTATCAATAACTGTTTTTCGTAGAGTACATCTTAGAACAGATCTTGCTAGTGTTACGGGATAAGGTGAAAGTGTTTTGGTTGGTAGATTGATAAATCACTTGACCACCTAAAAGTTTTAACTTTACGTCTGTATATACAATTTAATACATATAAAAGGTGTATGAGTGTGCTGACATAGCGCTATTACATTCTCATATCTAACATAGTCAGCTGTTTTTCTCTTGTCTGTGACTTTTATGCTTCGTATGTGTTTGAATTTTCAGGTTGGCTCGGGGTGGAGAGGTGCCGGTGGAGGGTCCAGTCGCCAACGGCTAGATCCTGCTGTCCGCCGCAGGATCCACGTCTCTTCCAATACTGGGACGGCGATATGCAGGGAGGCGGCGGAAGCGGCCTGGGTTCGTGTGGTGGCGGAGCACAGCTGGCTGATTACGTTGGCGGTGGAGTAGGCGCCTTGTCGCTAGGAGCTGCCGTCGTATCAGGCGGCGCCAGTGGTGGCCCGCTCGAGCTGAAAACATCGTTTTGTACCCGCGAAGGCGAATATCGTCTGTTGGCTGCGTGCGAATATGGACACTCGAATCGAGCGACAGCCGCTACCGGTGGATATAACTCCCCGCAGACGAAAACGCCTGTTAAGGTTTGTTGGTGACTTGGACTTATTTTTGTTTGTCGCGTTTTTGATTTTTGAACAGCATGGGAAGAACATGGTTCCGGTGAACCCAAGAATAGACTGCTCACTGGTTGCCGCCGGTAATGCGTGAGCGTCACGCGATTCAGGGAACTTCCTCGAGAAAGAAACTGGTGAGAACAGTCATCGCCATTACGCGAAGTGTTGCCCATCGCAACGGCTTTTTGCTGCCGATGGTATTGCTCGAAGAGAGAGGCCTCGGTAAATAATCGATCGACATAAAATACTTACATGAACGTTGTTGATGGAGACCTTTGTTATGTGTGTTATTATGACGGCCAATTCGAGTTATGCTTAGAACATGGCCTTCCAGCGATTTCATTGTATTTTCGATCGTATGAATGACATCTATAGATAGCTTAGACCCACAGTTGAGCAAGATTAAATCTACAATGCATCATTGTATTACTGCTTGAAACATCCACATCACGAGCACTTATTGAATTGAGAAGTGTTATGATCGTCAGGACGTTGAACAGAACAATGTATCTTATCTCGCAGGTTTATAACAGTGTTGTGTAGAGAACTTTGATCAGTTGTCGCTACTGTGGGTGTCACGTATGCTTGCTCTAATAATAAACGTGAGTTATGTGACCAGTCAACTGTCGACCAACATTTTCCTTTTAATATTCAGTTGTTCTAATCACAATAAATCAGACTGAATAAAAAGGTAAACGAGATCGTGATAATTCTAGTGGGCCTGAAATATGAACAAGCGTACAACCCAGAATCCCGTTTTTACCGAAGGCATACGGTTGTCTTAAAACCGGTTCAAATTTCTTTACGACTTCCTCGTGTTAATGCTCACACCGACCGTAGGCGACAGTCATTAACATATTGAAACTGCATCTATTAATTATAGAAACAATTCCCTGAAAATCACCAGACTGTCAGCCGTATGCCAAATATTTTTGCGGTACATTCCTAAATTGTTTTAGCCGTGCAGTCGTGTCGATCAGAGATAGAGGATGAATCGCTAAACGAAATAGATTACATACTGACCTAAATCTGAAGTACTCAAATATGTTATCAATGTTTCCATTATTTGTCATTTACTACAATGATTTCTTTGCTGATTATCTGGTTTCACAGGTTTCGTTTATAGAGGACAAACTATGCTACAATGTGGGCAGGGAATTGTATATTTATACCTATCGGGGAGCGCAGAAGGCTGCCGATCTCTCCAAGCCTGTTGATAAAAAGGTAAAAAGCCCAGTCAACTAAACCTTGGCTGATATACTGAGAAATCTGAGACTGCAACATATTGTAAATTGGCTAACTCCGTTCTTTTACTCTAATAAAGATTGTTTAACATAATAAAACTCTGTAAAGCAAACCAAACATAACACAACAATATGCTTGTTAGGCATGTACGAAGTTCTTGACGGCCAGGCGCTACCTAGTACTGTTCTAGAGGGACTGCAGGAATTGTCTATTACAATCTGCGCAAAATAAACGAACCTAAATATCCACTACTACGAAGTAGTCTTTGTGGACCCGCTTTCTTTTCCGAAGAATCCTCCAGTTCAAGTGGTCGAACTTATGTAAAGCTCAGCAGATTTGCGGTCCATAAAAGGAGCCTTCCTTTAAAATAAACGCTGTTTCTGTAATAACCTAGTTCTTCTCATTACAATCATGATGCAGGTATACAAGGGCAGTTTTCCGACGTGTCATGACTTTAACCAAATGCTTGCGGCGCCGCTATCCTTGTCACCGTCACCGTCGCCTTCAGCGTCAACGGCTCGAACCATGACCCCGGCGCCAGCATCCGATTTTGGTGGTGGCAGCGCTGCTGGAGGAGGTGGTGCTGGTTCTGGTGGAGCAATATTGGCAGAGGCCAATGGATCGTTAGGATGTGCTCATCTGAGTGACGAGATAATGAGTGGCACCGATTGGGGACCGGGATGCATAACGAAATCAGCAGCTACGACAACAACTGCAGCTGTAGTTGCCACGGGCTCCGCCGGCGGTGGTATGGCAATGACGGGAGTGAACTCGCTTTCGTCTGCATCGACAGAGCGGCAGACTGCTTCGACACCGACGAGCAGTGACGATGTAGAACCTCCACTTGCCAATACACCTTCGGCAGGTCAGTATAATATCGTTCACATTATGTGGTTACGATAGAACTGTGGTTTACATTAATATACTAGCTCAATTTACAATTAAGTGGAAATGCTATTAAGTTTTATAATCAGCCCCACCTGAAACAATTGCGTTGGCACACACTGTCGTTTAGCGCTCTCTTCGATTACGGTTTGCGGACACCCTGGTAGATGACTGAGGTTTTCTACCCGCTTATGGACGAGGTCGTTGGTTCGTTCCACTACGAGAACTATTATCTTATATTAATCCTGTTTATTATATTCTAACAGATGTAATTGTACAGCACGTGTTATAAGGACGTTGCTTGATTGCATGCCGTCTTTCTCTCTGCAGTGGGCATAAAAGTTTTTGTTGTTCGTTGTCAGTGACTTGACGTACTGATCGGAGCGAAATGGAATTGGTGTAGCCTGTGTTTGTGCGTGTGTTTACATTCTCGGTAGTTCAGCTAGGCAGCAATGCGTACCGCTATTATTATTATCATTATTACTGAGGTAATTGGGTTGTTTAACTGCAACAACTTGGGCATAACGTTTGATCGCTATGGTTAGTAAAAGTTGGGAGTAGTCGAAAACAACAGTCAATGATTTTGTATTGGTCACGTAGCTACCATCTAGGCAAGCAACAAGAAGTAATGCAGAGTCAAGCAGATGATCCTTTACGGTAGAAAGTGCCACAATGTTAGCTTTCGCAGACCGGAAGTACCGCAATTATTGACTAAGATAAGTCATCACACCATATTTTATCTTGGCTATGAGCTAAAGTAAAATGAATCTAGATATGCGCGAATACGCACGAATAGTAATTAGGGATATGTTGTTATTTAATTGTCGCAAATAGTAGCTTGCTCCTAACAAACAGAACTGATCTTTTACAGCGCCTTGATTGTCATTGAAAATCCCTAATAAATTCGTAGTAAAATCGTAAACGTAGTAAAAATAATTAGATCACGCTTATAAATAAGAGCTAATGCACTCATGTAACACCATTGTCGTGCCTTATCTACAAGGTTTCGTTCCTTAGCTTGTGCTTTCTATAACGCCATCTTCTCCTTTCATGAAGATGTGTAATTTTTTTGACCTTGGCTGTAGCACTTCAATTAAGAGGCCCGTACACAAGACCTCGAATTTTAATAAGCGACTATCGGCTTGTATTATAACAAACAGGCAGTACCAATACCTTTTACGACGGTTCGAACGACATATATGAACATCAACAAGTCGCTCGAAAGTCAAGCTTGTATTTGGTTTTACTAATGCACAAAATTAACAAGAATGTATTTTAGATTTTAGGCCCATATTACAGTACTATGCTAAAGGATAGGGTTTACTAGAACTACCTTTGTGCCTTCAGGACTGCCAAAATTCACAACCTAGTGAAACCCACGAACGAGATTGTCGTATTTGTCGTATCACGTATACTCAGATGAAATCACAGCACTCATTAAGTCGGAGTTTCTTTTTGGATTTATCTCAATTTTGTAGGTTCTCCCCCAGTAAGTGGTGAGAACCCGCCCTCGCCATCAGAACAAAAGGGGTCAACACAAAACCAAGGTCTTCAACTACTAGTCGGATTTAGCGGAGGCCAGATCCAAATCATCGATCCCGTTACCAAGGACCACCTCAAGAGCAAACTGTTCAATGATGAACGCCTTATTGAAAAGACCAAGGTAAGATACGCGTTAAATTTAAGTAGCATTTTTAGTGAGTAAATTCGATAGCGTTACGTTACACATATGTTATGATATGTAACTTCTCCTTTTTTAATTCTAGCGTCGATCAACGACTGGCGGATTCCAGCAGAAAACGAAATATGCGAACACCTGGTTGTGAATCTAGGTACCCTAGGTGCTCTCTAATTTAATAATAATAAACCCACGAACAAACCCGTCCAAGACGTTAGCCATCTTTTTATTGATAAACGCTTACAGAATCATATGGCTTCATAATTTAATATTTCAATAGTAGAAATAAAAAAATCGGTTTCATATGTTGATACCTTTATGCATTCTCATGATAATCAACTACTCTTTGAAAACTTTTCGATAATTTAATATTAATTTATAAAAGTTACCAATGAAAGGTACAGCATAGAAGATCTCATCTCTATTTCAGTTAAGTTATATACCTGCGAGCTAACTTATTGGTTTATTTTTTTTTTAATTTCCACTAGGTGACGTGTCTGGCATGGGTGCCGTACTCAACGCAGCTGTTCGTTGTCTCACATACATCCGGCCAGTTGTACCTGTATAAGAGCGATCTTCCTCCGAGTCCACAGGCTCCACATTATCAGTTATTTAAAACGGGACCGGGATTTACCGTGCATACGTGTCGTTCAAAGCAAACGCGAAACCCACTCTTTCGTTGGGTAATAGGAGAAGGCTCCATTAACGAATTCGCCTTTTCTCCTGGTGAAGGGCGATATCTTGCTACGGTTAGCATTTGCTCTCCTGTTGTAACTTACTTAGTTAGTAATTGAAATGTGAACTATTTCCAAATAGACCAGAATCAAGCATGCTGACTATTGTCCAGTTAGTAACAGCGACTTTCGGAGATGGAGTGATGCACACCCCTAATGTGATATTATTACTGCCAGAGTTCGATAGTGAATCTCTTAACTTACTTAACTAATTTCGTATCGGGGAGAGATGTTTGTTTGTTGCGAAACGCTTTCAAACAAAAACGTTAGAATACAAATACGAAGGATAGCTAAATATCCAATGAAACATAAAAACAAAGTTGCTCTTCTCTTATATGCTACGATCGGTCTAGCAGTGTTATCATACAATTTTCTCCACTTCCGTGCCTGGCTGTTACTTTTGCAGGTATCCCAAGACGGAGTGATGCGCTGCTTCGACTATTCGCGAATGGAACTGGTAGGCTCATTTCGATCTTACTTCGGTGGCCTGATATGCGTAGCGTGGTCACCTGATGGGAAGTACGTTCTTGCTGGTGGAGAAGACGATCTTGTAACCCTCTGGTCGGTTGCTGAGAAACGTGTCGTCGCGCGAGGTCAGGGTCACAATTCGTGGGTTAACTGCGTTCAGTTCGACCCATTTCTTTGCGGCGATGGCGGTTACAGGTAAGAAAAAGATTTGCTTCGAGGAAAACTATTACACTAATAGACGATAACATTAGTAGCTTATTTGAACCGCCGTTCAGCCTTCAGCAAGTAACTTTCCTTAGGATGAAATAGTCGCTTTGATGCATGTCATCGTGTACAGTAAGAGATTTCTTTGCCCAAGGAAGTAGACTCTGCTTTGCTTAGCTCGTAGCTTCAATTAATTTAGTGAAACGTATGGCTATCCAGTCAAAGCCTCATGATCTAAACTGCAACGGAACAACTAGCAAGCTTAGTGCTCACTACCGCTTTTTCACGAAGTATTCGATAAACCACGTCATTACACACAGATGTAACAATATCAACGATTCTATAATTTGTTCTCTCTCTCTCTAGATTCGGCTCTGTTGGCCAGGATACGCAGTTGTGTTTGTGGGACGTCAGCGAAGCCGACTTGTTAAAACAGCCGAAGAAACCTAAGAAGCATTCGAGTTGTCAAAACGGGACGTTACTCTCCAGCTGCGGACAACAGGTGGGCAGCCAGCAGCACCAGCATCATCATCAACAACAGCAGCAAAACAACAAATTTAACAATAATACAAGTCACAACAACAACTCAACAACATCACTCTCCCCGCAGCAACAGATAAGCAGTAACCACAACAGTACTACTAGCGGAAGTGGCAAAGACTGCAAGGAAGGAAAGGATAACAAGGATAGCAGCAATCACAGCCATCATAAGGATAAGGTAGGCGGGGTTTCTAAGCGTGAAGTGAGTAAGTTAAGGAGAACTAAAAAGACGAATGGTTTGAGACAAAATAAGAGAGTAAGAGATAACGGGTTGCTGGAGGTTTGGTGCAACCGGATAAACTTATTTAGATTATTATTTATAAAGAGATTCTGTGTACGGTTCTTGGCGTCAATTTATAAATTCGTTATGTTTCAGGAGCATTGCAATGGTGGAAGCAGCGGGGGTCATTTGGGTGCCCCTTCGCTGGCACTGGGCAGCGCACAATGTCCTCGGCTCGGCCAGGTGCCCATGCTGGAACCCCTCGTATGCAAACGCGTAGCTCCGGAACGATTAACGGCGCTTCATTTTCGCGAGGACTGTCTTTTGACGGCTTGTCAAGAGGGATTCGTTTGCACCTGGGCAAGACCCGGTACGCTAATATGATTTTTAATAATATATCTTACACAAGTGGATTTTTTCTCCGCTTTGATAAAACATAGGTTCATAGGATGGCCACATAGTGCTTACTTTTTAGGGGATGTCAATTGAAACCATATTACAAATGACGTTTAAATATAGAAACCGTGCTGCAAGTAATATACGTACTATATAAGTATCAGAATGCATGTGTAGATCGTCAAGACAGTATACACCTCGAACAGGCACAATTTTACTACGGTATTTGCAAGCTGGGTTAATCACGAAGTCGGTCGCAGCAAAGCTAGAAATAATACCTATGGGCTGGTGCAATAAGTTCATAAACTACCTTAATAACGTTTCTGATATTTGCTACAGGTGCACAGCTGCCTAGCTCTTGTGCTAAACTAAATCTTACCTAAATCACAATTCGCTTTCATTTATAAGTAGCATTTCTTTTGTCTTTTTTAGGTGTGCGCTCGTTGTCAGATGGTGTCTGCGAACGAGCTGACTTCGGCATGACCGTGTCGGCCGCGTACATTGATGGTGACGCGCCTCCGTCAATTGGGGGAGGTGCTGGTGTCATTGTTGGTAGCGGAATTGTTGGTGGTGTTGTCACCCCCAACAACGTAATGGGTAATAGTCAAGATCGGGGAGGTGGAGTAGGCGGAGCATGTGGTGCGACTGAAACTAACCGAGGCATGGGCGTCGTCGGCTTGGCCAGTGACGGAGTGAGTCTATCAAGTGGCATTAGTGGGAACATGGCTACAAGCCACGGTATCGCTGGAAGCGGTCAGACAGCCACGTGACCAGCGGAGGTCACGTGCCCCGTGGCCATATGCGCAAGGGGTGTTGGTATTAACAATAACAGCAACAGCAGCAGCGTCAATAGCACCATCAGCAGCAGTAAGAGCAAACCTGGACGTGACATCGATGGCCGCCTGTGTAATGCTCAGCGCTCTGCTGTCATTTCTGCTTCATATTTTATGGCTGCTGCCGCTTCCGGTGACGCCGCTCATCTCAGCGCATCAACTCTCATCGCAGCCGTATCGCCGTTTTCATCTATACCCTCTATATCATTAGCCTCACCTTGTTTACCGTCGTCGGGTAACACCGCCAACAACAACAAAAATTGTAACAGCAACACCATCAATAACATGAGCAAACGATGGTGTCCTACAGGATCGATACTGACTATTTCACCAAGCAAAACTGCAAATAACAATCTGTCTCCATCAGCGGAAAGCACTGCAAAAATAGCAGCAGCAATTACCGCTGAGAAGCAGCCTTCATTACCCCAGCAGCCCGAAAAACCTAAAGAGCGACGACGGTCTATTTCGGTGGCAACGGCTGCTGCGGCGACATTAGTGGTTAGCGTTCAAGCCAAACAATCGACGACGATTACTCCCAAAGTCATCACCGATGCAGCCGGTGGCTGTAGACGCAACAAAAGCAAAGCTGCTAACAGTCGCACTAATGGCAGCGGCAGCGACACCAACAGCACACTGCGGCATGGCCGGTGATACGTAGATAACGACATGCTTGATGGACAAATCCGTAGTAACAGTAATAGTGAAGCTGCGAACGTTGAGCAATAGGACTGGTATAAAAGTAGTCGTAGGCCACTGACTCTGGCGGCAGTTATGGAGCGAAAAGAGGATCTCAAAAGCATTCCCCGAGAGTTACGTGGGGGCTTCGCGGCGTGAGTTCTGTCGTCGTCGGCGACCCACCAATATCTACTGTCCACCATTCACGCCGCCAGCCTCATTTTACCCTCGCTCTTGGCCCCTCATGCCTACCTTGCCCCCCCTTACGTTGTGCTCAGTACTGCCGTGCTCGCGAAGCTGTCCCTGCAAGGCTGTCTTGTCTCAGTTCGAGTTCGGGGTCCAGGTTGTATCCAGTGCCACGCACAACCCCGTTTCGAAACCGCACAACAGCTTCGGGTCCACCATTACTCTCAAAGTTTTCCCTTGATAGTGCAGATGCTTGAGGTGATGCTAATGTTAAGCATGGAATAACTGCAGCATAAGTAATGTCATGGCTAATGATAGCGGCACTAAGTGCAGGCATTGGATATCATGAACCAACCCGCTTGATCTGTCTGAAACACAACATCAATTCTATACGCCATTGCCGCTGGTTGCATGGACAGAAGGAATCGCATGAAGGGATAAAAGCGACACGCATTCGCGTTCGTTCAAATCCGCTCTCATATCTCTATCTTTAGCGTCTGAGGAGAATCGGCGTAGGGTATTCAGGGAAGAGTCAGCAGAGAAGCGACCGGCGGGCCAAATTGCGAGTAAAGAGCTCATTTGGTTAGATTTCGAAGTTGCAAACACATAAAACGAAAGGAAGAACTGTGGAAGTTACGAAGATAGAGACGTAACCAGTGAATACGAAGCGTTTCAGCAAGCAGATGACAATATCAACGAAAGACTTGCTGGCACTTGCTGAACTACCCGCTTGATGGAGCAGCGAACATGCGCACCTTCCCAAATGTCGATGGGTCGATACAGAAAATAAATGCAACGAGAATGCCTTCCTTTCACATATATCTGTACGTGCACAGCTATTATTGAACGAAAAAGCTATTGTGTACATGTGAAGGTGTCTTCGTAGCTTCCAGCTGTTGTTTCTCCTCAGAGGAGAAAAAAGCGGCAGACGCGTTGAGAAAATTTGAGGGTTGAAAATACACTCAATCAATGATTTTCTTTATTGAGAATCTTCCGGACAAACGAATACGGACGACGACAGGCTCGTGTATCCAGCGGATGCACTGGTGAAATGACAGACGGTCGAGAATAGAGCAAGCCACTTACCTGTATAAGGCCGAAGGCAGAAACCCAAAAAGCTAAAGAGCTCAATTAGCCATGTGGGATGCAATGATAGCGACGAAAACAGAGCTGAAATATACTTCTCGATCATTACTGTGACGAAAATAGGGTAGTTATTACTGTTTTGGCTGCTATTATGACGCCGTATTCATTACTAATCCCGGCTGATAGAGAGTAACGCGCGGCTCAGCACTGGGAAGCGCGCCTATACCCAGTAACGCGAATAGATGCAATCCTACCCAGAAATTAATACTTGATGAATAGCTGAACGGATTTAAATGGTGTTGAGGGCAGCAAGATATAATTGAGACGATGATGATGATAGTGATGGCATGTGATGGTAAATGGTGTGTACAATCGAAGGGAGTTTTGGTTTGGAATAGGCCAAATGTGTCGGCGATAGATTTGTGTTTTACCTGTATTTAGGGCTGAGCCCCGATATTTCCCTGAAGAGTGACCGCGAAAAGATCAAGAGTGCGATACATCATTCGAATAGCCAGCGCGCTATGATGTATTCTAATATGCAGAGCAGAAAAGGGATGGGCTTCGACACGAAGCGCAACGAATAAAAGCGAATGATACGTGAAGGGGCAAGACGAGCGAAAATAAAGGTATCAAGTGAGACAACATCTAGAAAATACATAGTGAAAAATAATCACAAGGCAATATACGCCGAGCTGGGTGGCTAACAAAGACTTCTCTCGCCTTCCCTAAAGAGCGTCAGCGAGGGCGGACAGAGTTGGTTGTAGGTGAAGGGCAGTAACCCCAATAAGGGTAAATAACGATTACAGTGTGAACAAGTTTGTAAATTTTATTACTGCAAGCATCGGCGGGACTTCAATAATGTACGCATCTACCAGTAAAATAGCAACAATAGCAATATTGTTGTAGTCGTTGTCGATAGTATTCTTCGTTACTTGAGCTCTTCTGATCAGGACCATAACAGCCACTTTGACAAATAGAAAATTACGTGCGTACATACGTGCATATAATCAAGACCAATACATCAAATAGTACATATCTGTTCCCGATTCGCTACTCGCCCATGATATAGTCGTGATGTCAGAAAAATGATGATTCAATCCTTCGCACAGGTGGGCCTAATGAAATAAATGACGACGAAATTGTATTACGTGTCCCGTTTGACGCGAAGAGTTTCCAGTAGCCTGTCGGTTACTGTGCCGACATCATTTAGATAATGCGAGCAACGTGCTTAGGGTTTTCTTACAGCAAATATGTCTGGTTAGTCCTACACTTTTCCACCGTCAAGCCTTTCTCCCCAGACAGACACCCGAAAAGGTGATCTTTACTTCGGATCACAGTACACACAAGCAGAACAATTTGCATTATAACATTATGGTAATGATATAATATCGTATGTGGATGCATGATAGATGCGGTGAGAATGCTGAGTTTACGGTACGATGTCAGCTATTGTTATCCTAGTCATTACTAATATAATTTGATGAAACTGACTATTATACGGGAGAGACTCTTACTCCTAACGTTAATGAGTCATTAACTATAATAATGTCTTTTGAAAGAATGAATGAATCCACACAAGAAAAATCCTATAAGTGCTATACGTCTACACAGAATGCAAATCGACCCATGTTCATTGGCGCACGTCGGCACGTACAGACACACGATACGTATATTTGGTAATTTGGGCACGAAAATGTTGAAACGGATACATTCCTTAGGTTTCTATAGTGTAGCTGAATTTATAGTATGGCCGAATGATAACAGCTTGGGTCGCAGCTCGGCAATGCGATTACTGAAAAGCACGGTATCGACTGTTGCCGTGACTGTAATATCTGTGAATTGGTTCTAAACTATAGCAGAAGCTACCCATGGACAATAAAACGATAGGAACCATTTCTTTTGACTGGCCACATTCGAAGAGACATGGTGTTAAGTATTGTGATGACGAGCTTGAAGTATGCAATGATATGTTTGCCTTTTTGCTATCGTTTGAAGCATGGATTTTGTCCTTAGCAGTTTTCGATCAGTGAGTCTAATATGAGACCTGATCACGTTGAGTGGCGCGCATGTACCATTGATGGTTTGATTAAACAACGTCCCATATTGTGATGAGCCGCGCATGGATACAGATAGCGGCTGGGTATCAGACCATCTGTGCGGAGAAAAATCTACGTGGTCGACAACACTACGGAAATATCATCATCGTATGGAACGAGTTAACGAACATACGTTCAGGTATACTGTCGTATTTGAAATATCCGTGTGTCTTCGTTCGCCGATAAAGCCATGCTAGTTTCGTAATATCCACCCACCGGGAATAAACCTAAAAAAGAGTTACTTTGCAATGAGACATTGTGTGTTTTCCTGACATTGGACATTCGTTTACATTGTGTACTCCAGGGCTAAACAGAAATGGAGGGCACATATTGCTTGCGGGGCAAAATTATTAACGCTATTTAAAGAGCCGTGTCACGCAAGACATAAATCGTGCCGCAACGAGCTCCTTACCACAATACGGAGGCTAGAAACGCCAGAAGCTGAAGAAGGCCGGGCACGCCCGCCATGTGGTAGAACGCCTAGCGGAGAGAATCGTTATATATTTTGCTACTCCACCTCGCCCCATTGCCTTTAACGTGTAAGTTTCTGGTGGGCAACAACAATAGACACCCTCTCCCTGTTTGATTATTATAATGTAATAATAACGATAAAAGAAAAAGAAAATGTGAAAGAAAAGTTGAATCGAATACAAGAGGAACAACTGTCGAAAGGCCCCCTAAAAATGTTAACCGAAATGGTCCAGCTAAAATAAATAATATTAATTACTATTATATATATGTGTGTGAGTGTGTGTGTGTGTGTGTTGTGTGTGTGTGTGTGTGTGTGTGTGTGTGTGTGTGTGTATATATATATATACATACATACATACATACATGTTATTGCGATAATAACGATGATGAGGTTTTAGAAATTGACATTGATAATAGTATGTCAATGATATTAATAACATTTAAAAAGCCAAGCTATATTAAGCTGAATATAATAATAAGATAATGAAAAACGCTGCTAAGAAAACCCTTTCCCGCTACCAGTTTTGTCAAGTCGCTATGGCCTCAAAATAAGATGATAAGAAGTTGACCGGTTACAATGGCAACGATGGTCTCGATGATTATATGAGTCGGTCGATGAATATATATATATATATATATAAATACATCTACCGATTTGATGGCTGCACCAGGTGCAGAAGATATAAGGCGAAACAATATACGATTAGTCTAGAATACTGCGAGCGGAGTGATAGTAAACAATAATAATAAGAAGAAGAAAAAAGGAGAAGCATATTGCCAATCATTGCAAATGGGCGTGGCGAAGTAGAGTTCCGACGAGGCAACAGCAAGGAAAGATACGCCGCCGCTGCCGCCTCTTCCTCCTGTGAAAGCAGAACCGCAGAGAATATCCACAGAGACGTCAGTCAACGATAATAACGACGATGATAGTACTAGGATAACAATAACGATTACGAAATGCTAAAACTGATGATGATGATGATAATAATAATAATAATAATAAAAACTACCTTCAACGTCGGCGATATGAAAAAAGAACACCAATGACGGTGCCTTGGTGAAAGGTAATGATAAAATATAAAGCGTCAGTAATAATTATAATAAGATGAAGAATAAATTACGTGTACAGTAACAATGGGAAGTTTGGAGGATGATGAACGAGGACAAGGGCGCCAAAAATGATTCAGAAAAGTCGCGACAGCAGCTGCCGTGTTCTCACCTTACGCGCCCTAATATATTCGAATGACATTTTGGAACGCAGAGAAATTTGGAAACGTGTAAGGGAAATCATCGAGTGAAACCAAATAACAGTATGTTCATATGAAATATAATGGAGAATTATTCAGTTTAGAGGGCGAAGTATTACACGGAGTTTATTTACTCTAGCGGAAGTAATACGCCGAACCCAATTGAAACGAATAAATATATTTATAGCCTCTATTGATATTAGAATAATTTAAATAACAAAATATAATGAGGTACGCAACAGAATCAAGTGATCAGGAGGAACCGTGGAGATAATGTACTTCGGTATATTTCTAATCTTCACGAGGTCTTGGATAACAAAAAATCGATTCGATTTATCATATAATAGTGATGATAAGGGTCAAGTGGACATGAAATAGGTGCACGACCAAAACAACATACGATAAAGAGAATAAGGGGCAATGAGCAACGGACAGAAAAAGAAAGACAAACACTGTAAATAATAGTAATTTTTTTGGTTGTGTAAATAAATTTGTTATCTTTAACGGCAAGTAACTGAAGAGTCTTCATTGGCCGTCACCTAACACACGGCTTGCACGCTTTCCCAGAGTTTTCACGTCTAGGCGTACGCACAATTTACAGATTTATATAGTGAAACTTTATTGGTGTCGAATCTCGGAAAGAGAAACCTAAAGGAGATACCCAATAGGAATAGATATTTGGGGGTTAATGGAGACCGCTTGAGACCCAGTTCCAATGATCTTAGCTTTTTAATCTAGCAATTTGCGGTTGCTTTCGAGAGGATATTGCTAATCGGATCGTTTCGAGCGAAATCCAACGGTCAGCCTTGCTAAGTTTTGCAGTTTTCCAATTTCCACAATGACTAACGAATATTTTGGGCCTCAAATTGGGAGGTGTCTTTGAAATTAACAGACACTAACTACATTGATTAGGCGTGATTCTCGGAAATGATACACACATTTATTTTTGCTTAAACACAATCTTAAAAACAAGGTGAGGAAGCGTCATAGTGTTCTGCGACAAGTGGCCCACGGGATTCGGCTTAACTGAACACACAATGAGCGATAGTTTCATTAGTCAGCATATTTTTAGAAACTCTGCTAGAAGCCAGACTCTTGTACGAATTATCCCTGTGGAGGATGGCCTTTTGGCAGGTGCAAGGAATTGACAGTTGACAAACTCTGACTAAAAAACAGACCTACGCACTTTTCCTAGTCGGGTAAAGTGCAAAAAAAAAAGGGATCTAATCGAACTGATCCATAAAGAACATCTTGCAAATAGGATAATGCAGGTTTTTTAACCTTGACTTGACTAGACGTACGTAACTAAACTAGTCTGTCCCAAATATTGTACAGCTATTTTTCTTTATATATTCTCATTCGTCTAAGATAGTAAATCACACGCTGATTCACTATATTCACTGTTTGATGTGATAAATCGCGGCTTGTTTGTTAGAGCAAATCCTTAGTTTATATCTGATAGATACACAAGAATGAGCAGAAATCATTACGTTGGTCAACATAATCTCTAGCTCTGAATATCATCTACTGCGTCGCCCTGGCAATTCTTACTATCGTGTCATCGCTGTAGTGACACATGGCAGCATCGTAATGTCGTCAAGCTCTGAATCCTATATATCTTTGCCTCGCTCCATCTTCACGCAATGAGAAGATTTCCCTCGAAGAGTTCACCTCGACGAGGTAGCTATATGTATAAGGTACGTATTACAATTAGAAACAGTGCTACGTTTCTATTCTGAAGCTAAATATCGTTGTCGATCACTGCGGCGGGAACTTACCGACGTCCGGTCGATCCGACGACGAAACGGTGAAAGATTAGGGACTGGCTTAGGTCCAAGGCTCTGCGACAGTATGACCATGTCTCACAATGCCCATGTCCCATCAGTAAGGTAATAATCAAGTAAGATAAGCCGACTAATTGTCATTAATCCTACAGATCATCGTAGAAGATTCTAAATCTATCTAATCGCTTACCCGTTTACAGGTAGAAATTGTTTTACCTGCAATGCAAGTCATAATTATGTATCGCATATAGGAACTCTAATTTTTTCTTCTAACGTTTTTAATTGAATTTTCTACTTAGTAGATTATGAACACAGCAGCCAGCTTAAAAAGCAGACCTAGACACACCGATTAAAGTTCGACGATAGATATTCTCACCAAACTGTGCCGTCATTATTTTCACTCGGATATTTTGTTTGTCACACCGTACGCCGCCTTTTGATTTAATTTTGATAATAACATTTATAGCTAAATAATAATAACAGCGTTGAATGGAAGATAGCAAGTATGTGCGTAAAATGTAAACAAAGTTGGTTTATTGGCGCCGCCACAGAACCAGTAAAATAACCAACACTTGAATTAAGCCATTTTCATTTTTGCCACCAGGTTTCTTTTTCATGCGTTCTTTCGTTCATACTCGTTATCATCATCATCATCATTTGCATCCTCTTTCTCGTATTTTCTTCAGTCCGAAGTTTACTCGCTGTTAGTAATTCTCCTAGCTAACCTCGCTTAGCTATTACAGTCATATATTCTGCAAAGTCTCGATATAGGCTTTTTAGTCTCATAACAGTCACTTATTTTCGTTGGGTTCGTCTTCACCATCATATATGTTGACGCATCTCTACGGGAAACACGATTTATATTTGGTGATTTACTGTCACATCCCAGTCCGATACGTCGACAGCGACCTGTCAGCCATCAGTATCATAGACCTAAACTAATTTACGTTAAAACTAATTTGTCGCCGCAGTTATATAAATCGCATTATAATTGTTTGGTATGGAACGACTCTTGTGAGGAACGGGGGAGTGATCAAAATAAAAAACAAAACCTTAGAAACACATCATGATCTTAATGTAGAGAAGCCCATAGAAACTATGGTAGACACTCGGTGCTGAACAGGGAACGTGTGATCAACACAAACGATTTTATACAGTTGGTCATTTTATGTCGTTTGATTACGAAGTGACAGTTGGCCCTAAGTACTAAATTCTTCTAAATAGAACTGACTGAGAAGATTCCAGGATACACAGGGCCTGTAGCTGCGGCCGAGACAGACTGAGGTACGGACAAGATGATGACGTTCGAAAGCGAGACAGGAGTGCCTCGATACTCTTTTTTGCATTGGTCCATTTCTGATTTCTTTTGTTCACAGTTTGTTAGTCTGCCTTTGTCAGATGTCAGGCCATTCTCCGTTAAAGCATGAACGAATGGCTTTTAGCTTGGGGATATTTGAAGCCGAATAATGAAGAAGAAGGATGTCAAGCACTAGTTAGGTTTCGCGCTGTACAATAAAATAGGCTTGTCGTCGAGCCCGCTCCTCAATTAGTTATGGTGAATTAAGACTATCGTATCTGTCGGGACGCAGCTATAAGGCCTAAACCTTTGTAGCAAAGATAAACCGGTGCGATGACTCGAATTCGAAGGAGACGAAAAATTAACTAGATAATAAAGACAAGATTTAAACAATGCGTTTTTAATCTTTTGAAAATAAAATGCTCTTTCGTTGTATAAGTCGTATCTGTTTTTCATCTGTTGTTGTTTATCTATTTACGTATATACATAGCACGCAAGCTAGACTCCATCGTTCTCTGACGCCTGGACGCCGTAGCCGGCTACTTCATCTTCTCCAATCAGCTGCTCTTCAGAATTCTTCTAACCCTATCCAACCCTTCGTCTCTAATATTATTGTTATTAGTATTATTATAATTACGGTTATTATTATCCACTTGTTGCTTTTTTCCATTGTTTCACCTTCCTTTTCTGCAATGCGTCAATAGATAATAATTTCATTTCGTTGCTATCTTTTTACTTTGTCACTGTATCATATAATGCATTACATTTTCATTCACCGATCGACCCTCCGAGATAACATCTTTTTCATAAGCTATTCCCATTTGCCACAAAGCGGCCAGCGCAATGTTCTATTTGTTTCTCGTCATTATCATAATAATCAATAATTATATATATATATATATTTAATTAAATCTTATCGTTTCTTTTTCTCTGACTTGTGCTTCCCCAAATCTGTTTTTACTTAGGATTCTACGAAAGCGAATTTATACTAAATCGTTGCCTCTTCTAGTCGTATCTTTCATAATCTAGTTTTCATTCTGACTGACTCCTTCGAGGTTGTCTTCTTGGTCTCTCGGGCAGGTTTGTCCTTTTTTTTTGACACGGCTCATTGCTTTGTGACAAGGCCCATTGCTTGGTCCCTCCTCGTCGAGTAACCCCACGCTCAGTGATGATTATAACGCGATAGTTATCAGGGCTGACACTGTTCGCCATACCCAACCCCGCCTTCGTCGTTGGTTTACTTATAGGCGATTGGAAAAATGCGGCAAGGGTACCACAGACGCGTCCAGGTGTGAGGGCACTCGTGTGTACCGACTTCATACATGACGTAGAACGTGTACAGCAGCATCACGTCCTCGGAAATGAAGGAGTGGTTAATCGTTTTTGTCTTCAATTGGCGGAAGTATGAGGTGGTGGAAATCGTCAATAGTAATGATACGGCTGACAATTTGACTATAGAAACGGATGTTATCATTTTCAACTAATCGTTACTTTGCAATGTCTGAGACCATTATCTATTTCCTTGAATGGTCACTGAGGCTAGCTAACTGATGGATTCGATCCTGAATCATCTCATTTGACGATAATCCTTAGCGATGATCGTCGCATACGTATATACACAAATGCACAATCAAATCAATTACAGGTTAGGATAAGAGGCTAGAAATAAATGAACTGGGCAGCAGTAATAGACGCTGCTGATAATTTCTACCGGCAATCCTGCCGCAGTCCAGAAAGAGCGTATTTTTTTTTTTTTTTTTTACTTGTACTATGAATTGCGTATATATGATAACGATGAATTTATTACGACATCTACTTATCCTTGATGGATTCGTCAGCGGCGGTGAGTGAAGAGGCAATCGTTGTCGATGTGCCATTAAGATGGGAGCTGTGCAAGTTGGAGCAGCTAGAACCTGGGTTTCTGCTGGAGTTGAGCGCCTTGCCGTTTTTCTGAATGCAATTGCTGCTGTTGTACGAACGAATGTAGAAATTTAGGAAAAGCAGAAGAATGGCTCCGATCGAGGCCTGCCAGGTGTAAATGACGGACGATGGGTAGCCGCAGTTGCGGAACATTGGCACCGAAAGATGCGCAATCATCAGCACGAACTGGAAAATTTGCACCTAAAATGCAGCCATTGAAACGACGACAACGGATAATTGAAGGTAAGATACACAGAAAGATGTATAAAAGGTGCCATCCGAATGTTAACACTAAGTTCCGCTCTATCGCCGATTGATGTTTTTACCGCTAGCCGTGTTCCATTCGACAAACAAATACATTTGTATACGAGAGTTGGCCATTGGTCTAGAGCGGGTCCCTTCCCTCCAGAATTACTAATGTTCGATGAATTGTAATGTTCCCGTATCCTGTACGAATGTAGTCATCATATAATATCGGTTATTGTTTGTAGCAATATTATATCCCCGTGATGGCGTCGTACAGACGTATTGGTTCATAAAATTTAAAGGCGGGTAAGTTGGTCTGGGTTTGAAACTACGTGGGATAGACGTAGATTTCACACTGGAAGAAAGCAGCCATCTGGAGCTGTGCTCAGTGGCCATGTCCGACGTGAAAAAAACCTAGCACGTATTCAAGTTTAATTGTGAGAAATAGCAAATTTGAGTTCGATGCTTTGTCTTATACACAGCTTACAATAGTAACGACACATGGTAAATATTCCGCAGCCGGACAAGCAACGTCTAAGAGAGGCTTGTACGTACTACGAGAAAACTCATTTGCTGAGCTTGAGTACTCCCTTTTTGGACGATACATAAACTGTCATGAAGGAACTCTTTGTCAGGCAAAAGCCTCGTATCGGTTAAGCTAACCGGCGAAGTTAAAATAGAATTCGAGCGGTTGTCCAACTGTGGAAACGATAAACACACATCATGATTCAAATATAAAGTAACAACTTACATAATTCAATTAGTTACGCTATAGCAACTAGACTTTTACTTATTCTGGCGGTAAAAACTATATACATTCCTCGGCACTAATTAGCGTTGTACCAGAGTGGTTTAAGAATAGATCTACATACTTTATAAAGATGACGTAACAACTGCACTTGTTTTCTCTTCCGGGAACAATTACCACTTCAGTATGCACGCCTAGGGCTCCATCTTGCTGATATTTGTTTATCGCGTCACCCATCCTCGCGATGAAGACTCATCCATAATGTCTACTTGTAAAGTGTGGACGTCATCTGAATAATTATAATATTTATCTAGCTGCGTCACAGCGGCTCGAAACTGTGTTTATTTATATTTTCTTAACTAAGCCACCGAAGCGGTTCTCCCAGAAATACTGCGTGATTGTTTGCATCGTGCGACTGAATACGGGGAAAAGACTGCGTAAAAAAATGAAAGACACAAATGGTGGTAGACATTATCTAAACACACGTTCGACGATTATTTGTATCTTGTTGCCTTCTGCTGTCAGTTGACGGTATTGATTTATGACGTCGCCGATACGGCTGTTTTAGCTGACAGAAAATCACCACAACCGTTTGGCAGAATTTAATGGCAATTCCTCCTGTTTGTCCTGCCTGACATACGCTGAAGGGCTTACTTCGGACAGCGGCCGGTTTTTCGTACGACTAAAGTCGATTGCCGCTGCTGGGCTTGTGAGAGAGCGCATTTCTCTGTGTGTACGACACCTGCGGGCATTTACCTTTTCAGACCGTCCTGAGTTGAGAATGACAAGGCCGAATAAAGGAAGCAGCATACGTTGCTCTTCTCGTATCAAGGAGATGATCAATAATCAAAGCGGATTACAATCGTTCAAAGGCAATATGGCCACCACTGTCGCTAGCTTGAAAAAGCAAGGATAAATTTCAACAAGTGACATCATGACATGTGCCCCGATTCCAGTGAGTTCTGCGCGTGCGTTCGTTAGAAATTGATTATTTTGTTCGTGAAATCTGATGGTTGAGCAGTTCTGGCACTGGCCGACAGTTACTACCCTAGCGGCAAGGCAGAAGCGCTTAAATAAAGGTTGACTTGATTGACGTCATTCAAATGGGTCCGCTTGATTAGCTGAGTGGGCACGTGCCTGGAAAATGTAATGAGAAAAATTTTCTTACGCAATTTTGAACACCACATTTAAAGCCCTGACGAGGAAGTTTCTTCGCTGGTTTATATGTATATATTAAGAAAATTGCCTTTGCTCACTCTTCGTAGCGATGAGATTTCCATATTTATCAATAGATGACGACACACCTGCTCACCACGCGCAATCTGCTTTTGGAATCAATGCAAGCAAAATGAAACTTAAACGCCTAAGGCTAATACAGGACATAAAAACTCGACACATTATTAAGAAGCTAACAAAGGTTCTAGACCTGGGAGAGAACCGTAAGAGTGCATATTTTTTCGTTGTTGCCTATGCGGCAACACAAACAACTTTACATCTTTCGATTCTCCGTTGTCGTATAATAGAGCCAAAGTCACGTCAACGGAACGTAATAAAAGGCAAGAGAGCGAGCCCACCAAAATGCAACGTGCAGCGCACAAAAACGGTGCACGTAATTCGTTCCATTGGTAGTTGTGCAGGGTAGCGTTTCCGTTGCCCCCTTCCTGATCCCAGCAACCATCTAGCCGTCCGCTACGAAAGTTCGATTGTACTGTATTAAATTTAATAGTGTGCCCCTCTCCCACACTGGGACTAATGTCTTTGAGGCAATGATATAGAACATTATACAATAGTACCATTCAGCAGCACTTTGTCGTGCGGCACACTGGGCAGCGTCAAGTACCGACGGCGGCAGTTTTAATGCTGCCGCTGCGACCACACTGAATTGCCGTTTGACCCCGGAATCCCATTACTTATCGTGCAGCGGCCGCTCTGCAGGTCGGCACACATACACACATATATCGACTAACATCGGACAATGCGCCTGATGATACGAACGTGTAGCCAAGAGCCGGATACACACGGCCAGGCGACGAGGTCGACAAACGAGCTCCCTATATGGCACGCTGTATTGCATTGCTGCTTAGTTATTACGCCAGCTGTGGTAGCTGCCACAATCGCTGTTACTCACTAACAAATGCGCGACTGCGGGAGGCGTACGCGGGCTATCGCGGTGGTGGCTGCCGCGACGTCAACCACACACTTCAAACGGGAACAGCCACCACAACGTGCAGTACAACGCACGATGCCCAACACGAACCATCGTAGCGTCATAAGAACAAACACAATAGATAAAGCGGAAGAATTCGCTGTTTACAGTTGCCGCCTGCGTCAGCCCCCCAAACCGTCATCATAAACATGAAGAGACGCTGCATCAACATAGGCAGGCAGGCAGGCAGGCAGGCAGACAGACAGGAATACGAGGCAGTCGGTCAGCAGTGCCGTACGATGCCAGCAATGTGATGCAATGGAAGATAACGCCATAGGACTAAATCGGACCAATCAAGGTAAATCGGCTAGATGAACAGACAAGTTGGGGGAAGCGCCCAAATCAAGAAGAAAATTCAGCCAGGCCTAAGTCAGCGGCAGCGGTTTCTCCCCCACTCATCTCCCACTCCTCTTATTGCCGCTGTACATGCTGGCAACGCAAGTGGCGTCGCCCATGAGCACAGCGAGGATGTTATTGCTGTTACTGCCGGATTTGCTTCGTAATAACATGCGCCGCCGCAGTAAATGTACAGGAACGACAACAACGGGAAGAACAGCGAGCAGCTGTGTAGAGGGTAAAGTGGGTAGCTGGGGCATCCGATAAGAGCCCTTTCAAAGGGGTTTGTTGGACAGGCATCTGTGACGACAACAACAACAACAGCACGGTTAACATCAACGTAAAGGGATGTCGTCGATCCGACGATCTTTTTTGAAGACCAGCAGGAAATTGATGAGTGCTTATTTTTCAGATTTTCTTAAGATTATGCAATTTGTATGTTATGGTCTTCAATGACAACAATGATTCCGTATATAACAATGTCGGCCGTGTCTAACGAACGCATTAGTGATACTACGGAAAATTCATTGGATGTAAAGGAAACTTTTCCGACATGCGTTTGTTTCGTTGTCATATCTTCTGTTTCATGTTTTTCCTAAGGAACTCAGCGCAGTTTAACATACTCTGAAATGCAGGGACGAGGCCTGATAAGGTATGACCTGGGTACAATATTGTCTTTGTTGAATCGTCTCAAACGTTCGGTAAACAATAGTTACGGCTGACGCTAACGCAGGCAGCCGTGTATTGTGGAACAGATTTTTTGGTACGATTATGCACATAGCCGTAGCTGAGAGTATTATTGAACTGTTTTTCAGCGTTAAAAACAAGCGTGACGGGCCGATCTTGAGTAAGAATTCCAGTAGCAATGGCTTTGGATAGCCGAGACGAAATTGTACATGGATATCCACATTGCATGAACTAGATCTAGTTCTAAACATTTATATTGCAGCGTGGCCCAAGAGAATGCACAGCGTTGGTACTAACGTCTTCTTTCTGTGGACCTTAGGGCCGGCGATACGTTGAGAAATTCAACTGCCTCCGAGATTCAGAACGGCTTAGGCACAAAATCTAAGCCAAAAGCTTTGTTATGAAATAAGGCATCGTACGACGCCGTTTGTAAAGCACCCGAACTAGATCCAAGAGTATCATTACCAGGGATTCTACTTTACCTAAGCTCAATTTCTTCTCATTATGGCCAACGCAACTATCTGTTGTAGCTCGACTAAATTGATATGTCCAACACAGAACATTCGCATGATGGAACACTTCATTATCTCGTATTCGACATAGGTTTACATGGTTCGATTTTTGTTCTGAAGAAAGTCTCCGCAAAGATTACACTTGCTTGTTTCAGCGAAATTCAGATTCGGCTCACTCAGAGATTCGCGGCCAAGTTGCCGCCCAAACGAAGAATCTATCGTTCAAAATTTCAATTAATAAACACAAAGTAATAAAAGCTTGAGAAGTTTATGACTAAATGGCTAGAGGCTAAATGACAGATAAGTCTCAGGGGGAAGGGGGGACACTTACCTTCGTGAGATGCTTCTTCCACCAGAGGTGCTTCTGTACAGCCGGTCCAAGTGTGGAGAGTAAGTAGTATGTGTACATAATGGCATGCACGCATGAGTTGAGACAGAGCGTAAAGATGACGAGATTGGTTAGGCCGTAAATAGCCGACGCCCAAGACATGCACACGACGATAACGTGATGAAACACGTGTAAGAACGTAATTTGGCGTTGCTTTTTCCGCAGAACGAAGAATACCGTATCAAGGAAATCAAATACACGTAACCACCTAAGAAACGAAGAAATCAACGACAGAAAGTTTGCACAAACAGTAGTAGCACATGAGTACGTGAGTCGTCTGAAGTATCATCATCCCTTTGAAAGGGGCTGAAATAAACGTGAAGGCCCAAGCACGAATTTCTTTACTGTGCAGTGGCCTGCGTTTTGCCGCGGCAGATTACTGCTGCTTCGGACTAACTCCGCCCTTATTTTGAATGGCCATGATTAGTACCAGCAATCGGTGATTGTTTTTCGGAGCCGCAGAAAACTCTCATTTTACCTGTAGTTCCTTTGGAAGATTTATAAAAGAAGGAAGAAGACGTTCGTTCGGCTTGAGTAAGATGTGTTGGGATTCATAATTCATTAGCTCAGTTGATTTAAGTTTGCAAATGATAATAAGGACGCATAAGATATGTGAAAAGTTTTGATAGGAAAGGCCTCTTGTCAGCTTTTCCTCCATTTTGAGTTTTCAATATTCTCCTAACGCCTTTAACAGTCTGACGATTCTTTTTTCAAATTCACAGCATAAGTCCTCTCGAAGTTCGCCAGAGCGACAAGTTGAAAGCTTTTCTTACGCTCGTTTTGGTATCTGTTGCCATCTTGAATGCTACACAGACGAGAAATATGTTGAACTCGGTCCAAACGAGCAGTTCAAGTCCGTTGGCTGTTCTAGCGCAACGAAATTTACTTGAGTTGAATTGAAATACTTTATATATTGAATTGATGAATGGCTAATTTCGTAGCCATGGATAGATTTATTGATATCTACTTATTCGGGCGTACCCTAGCCTTCATTTGCAGAATCCGGTATGTAATAACATCTATGTAAATTCGAATAACATTGGAGCACATTTATAATACACAGCACATTCAGAATGATGCTCGCGCCCAGGTAACAATTCCGTATCACTTCCTAACCCAGGGAACGATCAGAGGTCTTTCTGAAGATCTTGCGGGCTTGCAATCATTCCACAGCTGGCTACTCAGACTATTAGAGTCAAGATGATGTTAGCCTTGATGTACGTCGTTTGGCAATGTATTTTGCTTCAAATTATTAAATTCTGCTCAAAAGATACATGTTGAAACCATTTTTAACTAGGGTAGCATGCGTTGCAGTAAGGACATTGGATGTCCGCCTATAACCTCCAATTTAACAGTGGACAACTAGCAACGCGTTTTCGCACTCTATTCATATTTAAACTTTTATATTTATAATTACCTTTTGGAATTAATATGTTTAGCCCAGTGGCACAGCTGTGGGGTGCTAGGTAAATCCTGTAAATTAAATGAGTATCCATCACACAATAACTTCTCGCAAAGTGTAACGGTAAACTGGAATGGAAAGTTGATGGATATGGCCACTGCAATGATAAACCAACCGATTTTGGGCAAGCATGTCGTTTATCGCTAATGTTGTTGTACTAGGCTGACTGAATAGGTGACGCCTGTTCCACGACTAAATTTCAAATACTTCTACCTTGAAAACTGATGATGTACGGATTACAGGTAACTGAACGTCACTATTGCTAGGTATATTATGCATACTTATTTGTGTGTAGAAAGTAAGTGGAGTTTGTTTTTGACTACTTATTCGGAACGCGGGATCTATTTACAGATCTACAAATGTTTATGAAGTAGAAGAGTGGAAAGGGATACATTTCTTTCTCACCTACATGATCAACGAAGTCATCCTAGAACTAAATTCAGAAAATCGAATCTTATATATATATATAATAGATAATACAGTCTGTGGCATATCAACGACTAACTCACCAATAGTAAAATGTCATATCGAGCAATTCCATAGTTAATGCATCTGTTCGTCTGTTATCTGGAGGCGAACACAAAAATGGCTGGTCCATTTTGCCGTAGAAATGATGGGCGATTTTAAACGCGAACGCTGTTGACGCGATGATCTGGAATAGGTTGTAGGTACGCGTGATGCCGGTTAACTGATATGGCTTGCGGTCGCGCATGAAGCGCGGACCCCAGATGTACACAACGTAAAGGTATGCGCCAACAATGCTAGCCAATGACAACGGCTGAGCAGAGATCCATGTCCGTAAACGGGGATCCCGCTCGAACACGTATGGCGGTACAGTGTCTAGACTCTCCATTTTTGTAGACGACCAACGATGTCGAGGTTAATCTGACGACCTAGAAGGGGTTAAGCAGACGCTGTGCAAAATGTGCGTAATTCGGTTGGAGGCCAGATACGTCAAGCTGCCTCGCTACACTAATTCCGCCACGATGGTGGTACCAATAAACTAAGTGCTTCTGGGGGAAGCGAGACGTGCCAACTGATAGCGAATGCCTGTAAAAACAAAGCAACAGAATGAACAATTCGTTAGCTCAACAATTGTAGATTTTCTAAGAGAACGGCACAAACGAAGTGCCATACGTTACGTTCCTTCTCGTTATCACGAAAAATTGAAATACACGCATTAAAAAATACCTGAGCAGAAGTTACGGAGTTGAGCGGTAACTCCAAGGTCTACGAATGCATAGGATTCAGGTTAACTGCAGAGATCTTCAGCAAAAATAGACTGAGAAACCAAACAGTGCAGCATGTAATGTATAACTTCACACACGCATACAGACTAAACATATTCATTTCATTGTATCTTCTTCTACGCGCTTCAAGTCACACGACTTGTTAACACATAGAACATACGTAAATTCCGCCGGTTTCTACCTTTGAAAAGATCCTGCTCAATCACTCGACGCGGTGTCTTTGTCGTGACTAATGTGTGCCGTTTGGAAGGGTCTCAACAGTGACATCTGTCGAGAAAAACTCAAAGCAGCGAATCCTCTAAATCACAGTTGGAACACTCGAATTATGAGCATATCCGCGAATAGACAGTCAGGGAGAGGATTATTCTGGGAAGGGAGATGCGGTGAGAGGGCATACAAGCGATTTTTTGCACAACGGGCATAACAATTGCAATCAGCTTTCAGGGGCATGATTTCAATCTTAACGTAAAACGAATTACGAAGGAAAATTATAATTTTTTTTAGGTGTTCGTTAATTATCGAATCTCATTCAGCCAAGTTTCAACGGCCGCGGTCGGAACAACTAAATATTAAGGATACATGAAATGAGTGTACCACTCGAGATCCATTAGTAAGTAAAAAAAAAACAAGCTAAGCTCTGACGATATAAATAAATAGTTCGTTCCGTCATAAATAGCCACAGTGGAAGGGTAACGAAACATTAGCTTGATATTTTCACGACCGCTATATGTACAATGTGCATACCCCCTAGCGATAAGAACGGATTCATGTGCGGAATTACATGCGACAAAGTATATATGGCATATACGATTATGTAAACGAAGTAAAATTAACTAAATAAGAAAAAAAGTCACTATAGCAGAAAAAAATATGCTACTTAACTATAACTTGCATATATTTCATCACATCTAAAATGAATTTAAGGTGTCCCAACGTTAGTGTAAGCTAAATGGCCAATCAATTTCGATCGCGTTTGCTAATTATCTACCGCGGCTTCTTCTACAAACTTGGAACAGTTCAGTTAATTAATAACACGATAGTGACGAAACGCATATAACGAAACGCGTAACTGGGGCGCGACAATAGGCTTACATGACAAATATTCTGCCACTACCCTTCGGCACGACAGTTCTGCTAAAATCTCATACTTCCTAGACGATTTGATGCACTTCTGACAATCCAAAATTGCTCGTTTAATACGCCACCGTCCGCTAATTAACAATTAATTCTCTGAGTAAACGTCAATCCGAAACGTGTTAGTTTTCGAACAAAGTTTTACTTCCACGCTCTATATCACAAAGTACAGCAAACCGAGTTTGTCGACCAATTGAAGAAAATGAAGATTCTTCACAGCAGAACTGAGCTTCTTCTGCAGTAGTTTACTAATTTCTGTTGTCTGATCGCAAGGCGATTAAAACACGTACGGCGTCCGGTGCATCGCAAAAGCCGCAAATAATACCAACTTGTTATAGTTTCATGGCTCCCATATCTGTCTGAATAGAGCAATTGACCCAAGTGAATGGAATTAGTCACAAAGGTATATATATATAAGATTGCTGGCATTTAGTAAGCACAACAGATTTTAGAGCTTATTTGAAAGACTTCTCTTAATCAGCTGGCCTGCGCTGGCTACTCGACCCGACTTGAGTTGCCCTATAATTTATCGTCCAATCCGCAGGCAGTGACGAGGCTGGTAGCGTAGGCCAAGTACAAACCGCAATCAGGGCATAAACACACCAGGTTTTTTGCGGGATCCTTCTGCTTTAGCTACACAGAGAGATGACAGTCATGACCTAACGGAGTAGACTTAGTTTGCAGAAATATCTGTCATGAGAACGTTAAAAGTGCTGGCAGAATACATGAAGGATATGCGGTTAGGAGGTCAATCGCATATACTTTACGGCCTCCATTGCACTGAAATCTGAAAGCCTCGGAGTCGAAAGCTATGAAGCTCGCTGCGCCGAGAGTCGGCCATATAAGAAAAAAAAGAAACTTCTGCTTCATCTACATCAAGAATAGTTAAGGGCTGTATATGGTTAAACTATCATTAACATGTGCGTCAGCTACATGATTCGGGCCACGCTCAAAATGAACCGTAAATTGAAAAATACTTTCAGCATCTTTTAAAGGGGATACTGAAGGGCTCAACCGCCTGTTGTCGCCATTACTGCATCTATAGATAGCTATAAATGTACTTTAAGACTACGACACATTTCTAATAAACGAAAGTCTCATTCACTACCGTACTTCATTTTTAGGCCATTAAAAATCCACAGTACTAAAGCGAGCCTGTTAATTTTTGCTACAAACCTACTTCGCTTAATACTCAATTGTTCCAAACATAAGGATGTTATTCATTCGCCCTTAGAAACGAATTGTCTTCTCTATTGAAATGGTTTATGCCACATACGTAGGCGTACTAGCGTTCCACAGTGTAACAGAAAATAGTAATCAGTCTATTTTTTCTCGTAAATATATCGTTTTTTTTTCTACGATCGTTATCAATCATATCCGTTCCATCTCAGTAATAATATTATGTGAATTTTTGGCAGAACTCCCTTTCGGGCGGATCTTTTTTAAAAAACGATATTTACAAAACCATGCAGAACGTATTGCCTTGAAGGGTTCCTTAAGTCACCATTGCCGCAAACATACATATGCATATCTTGCACTATGTTGTTGCATAAAGCTTCGTTGTTTTGCTAAAGGTTTACTTCAATTGTTTGCATGCCGAGCGCCGCAATGGTTACCCTTCCAATTATAAACATCTTGTTTTATCGAACCTCGTTTCGTTAGAGGAAACCAGTAAAATCAGATCTGAGTAAAATACTACATGTAGGATGGGGGAAGTAGTGAAAAATTAGTACTCGAACGAAACTTTTTCAACGTTAACTATTCATACCTAGGTTGGGCGTATTTTCCACTTATACGAAACAAAACGTGGCATCGATCATCCGAACCCAATAATCTTCCAATGCACTTTTTCACACAAACATATAGCAGTATTAGCGCTGAAGCTGTCTCTGAAGCATTTTCCAGTCGACCAACACACACAGAAAGGGTTAAAAACATCACGCAACCCCACAATGAACAATAATTACGCGAAGTTTGTGCGTTGCACGTTCTACGCGACACAACTTACCTTTGCCGGTATGGAAATTGATGAAAAATGTCATGGGCGATATGTAGCTCTTATAATGAGCTAAGTGTCTAAAGTATCTAATCGTGTTTTATCCAGAATATACATATCGTAAATGACTTGGTTCAACGTAATAATAACGAGTTCAACTTGCTTGTTAGCCACTTTTCAAGATCTTCATCATTATAGAAGATGCTACTTTCACAAAGCAAACAGAAGAGTCTTCAAAGCTGTAGATGCAACCTGACAGACCTAGCTATTCTTTATAATCAATGTAGTTCCTTTTACTTTTTTGCGTGTTCTTATATGTATTTTACGTATATTTTTTAGCATTTTTTTTGAGCAGCTGCATTCATAGATGTTGCTGAACGTTTCTATACGAACCACTTTGTGTCAATTAGGAAAAGAGAAACAGCACCAAAATTCCGTATGCTTATGAAGAATGCTAGCGTAAATAGATCCCATTGATTTTATTGATAGTCCGGTTTGCTGTTCGTTCGCGTTTTAGCCCAGTGTGAGTGATGTGTTTGTCGTGTAATATAGCTATATACTCATGTTATACCAACATCGTATCAAATCCTAAGTAGCTAAACAAATGTCGCTCGAACTGGGCATCAATCCAATCAATACACCCTGACCTGACGGCGAGACCCATTTCAGAACCGACACTTTTATAGCAGAGCTGCTTAATTTTAAATATTTTTGTACCTTTCCACAGTAACTTATTCAACATTTTTGTAATTATACTGGAAGTTTATTTTGACAAGCAACAATATCCTCACAGACTTCAATCGTTTTGGTTTCTTTTACAATCATGGAAGGAATGCCGAGATATTCAGGAATTAAAAGGATGATTTGTAAAAATGCAGCAGTTACCTTGCAAAAGCTATAACCATAATTGAAGTCGCCGTTATCGGTCAGTGATATAAAACTACTTTTCTCGTATAAATCGTCAATAGGTAACTATAGTGAGCTATACTTCATTCATTTAAAACGAGTGCGGAGCGACGATCTATCTTTCGGTTTGAAAGAAAGGCTGAATCTTTCGTTTACCCTTAAGCATAATGCCATGCTTGGGCCAGCACTAGGTACTGAGATATTAGCCGTTCTGTCAGTAAGCTGTCTAAATGGATCCACCGGATACTGACGGATGTTACCTGAAGCTGCTAGTTGCACACCTAAGTTTGTACATCTTTCCCCTTTGCACATCCATACGTAAGATAGCAGTATATTAGCTAAACTGAATTATGCGCCTATCAAAGACGTAATCGCCCTTACCTAACACCCCATCAAGAAATAGACTGCATCCGCAGGCATAGCTGAACTATCACGTGCAAAGAGATGCACAAACAGTACCTAATTTCTAATAAAATTTCTCATATGGAAATAATATACAGATCGTTGACGCTCAAGATCGGCCGTGCCCGAGAAGCCGAAACGGTGAGACGGATAAACGTCAGATATTACACGTTATGGTAGTTCCGCAATCAGAACGTGACATAGAACTTCCGACTTCCGACACAGCAGGCGCTAGCGATAGTCGTATTAGCAATGTACATTTAGAGCATCACCTAAACGAGAAGAAAGGCGGACAAGTTGCAGCCTGTGTGGCCAATAAAAACCTCGTGTGGTTACGGTCATCCGACGCTTAGCTATTTACGTGGGCTACACAAAAGCCTACGATAATACCGACATCTCGACAATTGATATCTTCAGGCTCTAATTATGAAGAGTACTTTGCCATATGTTCCAAGCACTATACGAACACGTGGACTACCTAAAACAGCTCCTTGAAAGTCATTATTGATATTATGATTGTTATGACACAAACTCCTAATACCTTTTTATCGAGTGACTATGTTGACAACAGCTCGATAGTGTGTACCTTTGATGAACTAACGCCGAAAATGACAAATAGCGGTGCTGCCTTGATGATGATAATAATAGTTTTCACTGAAGTTATCGAGTAGGTCCTCTATACCGTTTGACAACATATTGAGTTCACGCAGTTCGAAAGAACTAAGTGCTCTCTATTTATCAAAAACAAGAAATATGTACCACGCAGCTTGATAGATAACGGCTGCCTTTTTCCTCTATTATCAAGCGATGTGACCGCCGATTATCTATACTAAATATATGGGAACTTTGACAAAATTCGATTGCTATATATATATATATATCAAGCATGGCCATATTGTTATCCTTATTCTATACTATATGGGTCATCAGCTAATAATCGCATTTAGCTCGCATTTAAATAACGTAGAGTATAGTAATCAAAACAATAATAAGATTGATACCTTTTATAATTTCATTGTTATCTATTATCGTTTAGCGGCAATGGCAGGAAACGAATCAGCGGGGAGAATTTTGGTCGGTGTTCTAACACATATAAAGTATATTACTCCGTCCCCAGAAATCGTCTAGGATACATGGTGGAAATTATGGAGTAGACCCAAATCGCCCCAACCTTGACACTGCGTTACAACAAAGACCCATTTTTATATGCGCCCCAAAAATGAGGTAGACGAATCCCTAGCGGTTACAGAAATAAACATTGGTTAAGTTCACACAGTCAGACCCACCGGATAT